CAACAAGAAAAGCCCTAAATCAATTTTTTCCTTCTTATATTTGTAGCTTTGAGGTGACAATGAACATTTGGGCTTTTCTTGTAAATTCCATAGCTTTGCAAAGAAATGTCATGTAGAGCTGGGCAATGTCTCATTTTGATCAGAATTTCGCCTGTTACAATTTTAACTTATTAAGAAAAGTTTTGGAGAGTTTCTGGAGTTTTTGGAAAACTGGTTTTCCAGAAATCCAGTCTTTGGAGGCCTAGCGCCCCAAACCATTGTCATATTCGGATTCAGCACATTTTTTTACCTATTATCCACTAGCTTAGAGCTAAAAAGCGAGGTGGCAGTTGGTGACCTTCCCTCGTAAGTTGTGAGAAAAATTTAATATGCCATACTCTTCATACAATCTATTTTCGAAAAAAGCTAAAAATGTCGGTTTTTAACCGGTGCATGCGTAGGTCACATGCTGTGGAACATTTTATGTGCTACGATACATACGAATTTCATTCATCTATTTTGTTTTGCTGACAGCTAGTCTATATAAATGATACGGATTTTTCTACAAAATGTTTTTCGTTTTTTCTCACTAACTTGTTGGAGTTAGAACTTCACTGATTTAGTGATGTCGTTGTCAATTTTTCTAAACTGCTACTGTGACTAGATGTAACTTACGTCATCTAATCTTTGAACAGAGATTTGATGTTAGGTTAAAAAGTCAGAAAAGATCAATAAAATTGGGGTGGAAATATGAAAAATTTATTTAAGTCTGATCTAAGACAATTGAAAAAAATATATCGAACAGACATATTTTTCAGGCACATTCGACGACACATTATACACTACACGAAGAAGAAAAAAAACGCGAAATCCATGACGGTTTTGATATGCAGTTTCTTGCAGTCAGTTTGGCATGGTTTTTTTTCACGGTTCTGGTTGTTCATGCTTTTGTTTCCTATGGTTGTAATATGACGATTTTTCTTCGACAGTTTTAAAATCGTTAGAAAAATCGTCCAAGTAAAACTGCGCCAGCAAAACCGTCTACTATGAAAGGGAAGAAAAACAGAACAGCTCCTCCAGGAATCTAACCTGGGACGCCTGGTGAATATAAATTATGAGACAGAGGCATAAACTACTGAACTGAGGAACTTACAGGAGTAAGTCTTTGAACTGCATACTCATCATGTTTTCGAACAGACTTCTGAAAAAAACTTCAGCATTTTACGAAAAGCTATCGCTGTTGAATTTGTAAAATTCGTCGCTATCGTACATGCATTTGAAATATAAAAGAGAAACGCCAACTGTACAGGTATGCACAGATAGCATATGATACATTTTAGGGGAAGATATTCACTATACTCTCCGTCTCTACCTTCTAAGACAATCGGCATCAGAACGATTTCAAGATAGTCGCAGCTTCAAACAAAAGTATTTCTAAAACCAGAAGCTTCATAAAACGGGCATATTTTGCAGAAACATGCGCTGGAAGACGTCTTTTATTTCGAAGCATGTGGTTGAACTGGTTTGGATACTTGCCAGAGGTTGGAGTCATCAATATAAGCTTCAGATACCATCCACCCTCTCTGTCCAAAGTGCCAGTTCTCTCGTAACTGCCTGACCAATGCTCTTTATTGAATATTCCTGATTGTGAGATAGATTTGTCGAAAACTCCAAGACTCGTTCTATTAAACTACGTTAGTTTATCAGGAAGACTCACTGACGCGCTAACGGCTGAAATTGCACATTTTTTTATGAATTTCGACGCTTCGATAAAAACGTCAACTAAAAAGCGTGAGTAATTCTTTCACGGTTTTCCTCTTCACGCCGTTATTTTTATTGTTTTCTTCGACAAATTGTCAGTTCGTGATTTTATTTCTACAGTTTGAAGCTTTACGATATTTTTTCATGGTTTTAATTTCACAGTTCTCAAACTGATGGTTTTATTTCAAGTTTTCCTTCGATGGTTCAAAAGTGGACGGTTTTGTTACGATGGTTTTAACCTTTGCGGTTTTACTTTAACAGTTTTTCTTTTATACTTTTGAATTTCACGGTTTTCATGACGTAGTTTTCTACTTCATGGTTCTGTTCTTCTACACGGTTTTCTTTCGCTGGTTATGAATTTTTTTCTCATCGTGTATAGAACAAAGCATTCTCGATATGTCTCGGAATGTGTCTGAAAAATGTATACATTCGATGTATTTTTTTTCTGTATCCTTTTGTAGGATTCATTTTTTTTATAGCGTGCATATGGGGTGCAGCGCTCAATTACACACGTGATGTCGCTAATAAACGAGTATCCCATTACTCCGGTCTAACAGTATTTTTACAAAAACATACTTGTGTTGCCACTATTTTGTATTTGTACTCGTCTATCCGTTTGTACAATTCGAATAATTTTTGTTTTATCTTGTTGGATCATCAATCGATTCTCTTTTGATATCGTTCTGTTTTTCAAATGTATCCATAAGAATTCAGTTACATGTTTACTATTGATCGATTCACATTTTGTATGAAATGTACCATCTGTCAACAAAATCAGTAGCACTTTAACAAATTTTATTTTCACCTTTTCTAATGAACACGTACCTATTTGTACTCGTTTACCAAATGATGCTGCATCGCTTTCGTCTAATATAAATGGTACTTGATAACGCATAGCAAGTTTCGATAATTCATTTTCGTTCAACATCGTTGTAGTATCGTAAATATCATTGATATCATTCAGTGGTTGTTTAACATCAATCATACCGTGTGATTTTAATTCGAATGTTGAATTCACATTAATTCGACAAGAATATGTTCCTTTATAAATATCAGGCTCTTTAACAACTAGTACACTCATATTCTCTGTTTTCCCATAATAAAATTCGAAACATTCAGAATTATTCAGCATACGTTTACAATTTAAATAACCTGTCGTTGAATAAAATTCATCATTTTCATTCTTATTTTCATTCAAATCATTATTATCAAATTCATAATGCCAACGTATACGATTCAATAGACGATTATTATCAACTTCACATAACAGATAGATATAGGAATTTGGTTTATAGATCACAGTTATATTACGAAGTTCGCGTACAAATGACAGAGCCAATATATTGTCTAAATGTATGAGGGTATTCAAGTTGTCTCCTGCAAATATGTAATGGTTCTAAATAGTTTACCTTGCCATAACATCCAAAGGTGGCAAATAAGGAACCATACAATCATAGCCAACTAAAAGTGAATAAAACAATGTCAATTGTATGAAGTTCATAGAAAAAGATAGTGATAAGATAAGAAGTAATTAAGAAATTTCAGACTCCTCAAATGTTGAATTTCATCTACATATGTTTAAGCCAAATTATACAGACATTGTGATGTAAGAGATGAGAAGAACTTACCAATATTTGAAGAACATCGGGTTTTCTTTTATTCTTTTAAATTTAAATCAATGATAAAGTGCTTTTTACCAGTTAACAATAGAAGTTGAATAGTTAGTTCATCACCAATAATCATAATCATTGTGGTATAATTTCTATAAAGGGACAAAACAACGAAAACGATAATAAGAAAAAAATGTCTCCAAAAAATGCTCTTTGTAAAGGAATTCATTCCGATATTCATTTGGGTTTTCTGATATTTATTTGATTATCTATGACAAACTTTCCGTTATGTATTTCCTGCTTAAAAAAAGCAAAAAAAAAAAAAGATTTTTTTTCTTATTCTGTCCTTCATTCATTCAATTTTCTTCGCCGTTCTGTTCTATGATCATCGTATAGTCTAATATTATTGATACAACAATTCTCTATGGTCATTTTTGTCGAATTTATATTTTATTATTTGATACATTTTTCATTGTTTACTGATATAGATTAAATAAGACAAAATAATTAATTAGTTCTAGAGTTTCATCACTTAAAATCTTTAATAGTAAAAAGTACATCAAAATTCTCTGACAAGAGAGTAGTAATTAACAATGTGCAAAAAAAAAACTACAAAACTACTATAAATCATATGTATTATTTTTTAACAACAAAAACAAGAACAAAATATCTGTGTTTTAGGAAAAATTTTTTTATTGTTCATTAACGATGAGAAATAATATTGAAAGAGCAACAAATATACAATACACGTGGACATAGAAGCCATTCTGTTACTGTTTACCATCCATAATAACTTCAAATGGAAACATTATTAAGTTTATGTCTCTATATCATCCGTGTATGTTTATATGAAAAACTCTTGGAAAAAAGAATTAAATTAGTCACGATTAATAAACTGAGATAAACATTCGACTATTGCTCATTTATGTGAAAATTACAGACCATATATGAAGATCAGATGGCACTAGTTTTCTATTATGAATGGAAGTGCATTTAAACCCAGAATACTAAATAGAGTACTAAAAATATTGATTTGTATTCTGTTTAAATTGAGAAAATAGTATTTATCAATAAAAATGATTCACAGGAGTATATATATATAGTCGTATATGATTTTGGTTATGTAGAAAAATGGCGTTTTTCTTTGGTAGCAATTTTTACAATGATAATATACACACATTTTATGAACAAAGTGTAACGAAATTAATTGTTCAGCTGATATTATAACAAACTACTTTGAATAGAAGAGTACAATAGTGAGACAATGTCGCTGGCGATTTCTTTCATCGATAATTGATTTTTCATCTTTGTTTCTTTTGTTTTTTGCTCTGATTACTTTCTACGTACTTTGACGATATGTTTACAGTATCAATTCAATCATATTTTTAACAAATTTTGTTTTATTATCTTGACACAATACGCACACACATACAAGAACAGCTGCTTTGTTCTCATAAACGATATCAATCGGCAATTCGTTAAATGAACTGAACGGAAAACATCCGCGATAATAAACAAATCGGAATAAAAGCGTGTAGAAAATATTATAATCAAAAACTATTTTATATTAACAGAATACACATTAAAGTATTCTACAAAGATAATGCTTTTATTTTAGTTGTCACTTACAAAATTATTGATGAAAACTTCACTTATTATGTATTTAGTTGAGCATACTAATGTCTATAACATTGTTGTAATGACATATGGTTTTGTCATTTACTAACTTTAATTATCTATCGTTTAGGCTCAAATGAGATATCATTTGAGATATCTTTTCACTTTATAATTTGGTTTCAAGTACATAAATTCATGGACAATATCAGCATTTATTTCATGTGTAAACGTATGTCAAATATCTTACCTTACCCAAAACAAAAGTTGATTGAAATAACGACTACACTAATAAATAATAAAAAGTAAAAGAGTAGAACCACACGATTATTCAATCAAAAAATGTAAGACCGAATAAATCAAATATAAAACGTTTTACAATAAATGTCAATAAAGATGTATCATGCTGTTGTATGAACAATATATCAATCAAAATATCAGTACGACATTAAATAAAAAGTAAATCATCACCTAAATAAACAAGAGAAAAAAAATAATAAGTGTACAACGAATAACTGACTGTAAGTAAATTTGATTGTATGAAGGATAAGAGATAAATTTTTTTAAAAACAGTAAAAAAGCATCATCTCCATCTCATACCCATATTTAACATTAGATAATGTGACTTTTTTCATTGAAAAATTTTGTAGAGAATTCCCGATACAAGAAGGAAATCATGTAACAAGTACATCAAAGAAAATTATGTTTTAATTGACAATTGAATTGTAATAGTTTAAAAAAATTTGTATTTAGCCGTAAAAAAAATACATGTAGTATCAGTTTGAATGAGGTAACTTACTTACGTTTAGTGTTCCGTTTTTAAATTAGAGACGAGTTTTTTTTTTTTCTTTTTTGTTCATATTGAACATGTTTATTCTCGTTTAATGGAGTACTTGTCCTATTTGTAATAGTCTATGTAATTGAATGAAGAAAATTAGTTACAGTAGAATAGAAGAAAAAAAAAAAGTCAAAATAATTTTATATAGTGAACTTCGTTCTCTCAATAACAGATGATGGTCAAATGTTCAAAATGGCTACTGTTGCTAGACTAATTAGTTATACTAATCGATATCAAGAGTATAAGTGTGCGATCGAGAAAATGAGATTTAATAAAAATGTGTGTTTATGTTCGTTCTCTCCTTTCTCTCTCTCTCTCTCTCTCTCTCTCTCTCTCTCTATTTTTTTTTGTTCTGATATATACGTTGGGAAAATAGAATGGATAGAAAAAAAAAACAACAAAGAAAAAACTATTTGAGATCAATCGTACAACAGAAAAACATTGTTTAGACTGATGTTCACAATTTTCTTTTTTTTATTCTTTATGAAAAAAAATCAAAAGAAAAAGTTTGCCATTCTGATTGTTAGAGTTTGTGTGTGTGTGTGTGTGTGCGTGTGGTGTGTGTGTATGTGTGTATATCTTACGAGGACATGCAAAAAAATTACGTCAGCTTCTGACAACGTGTGTAATTCAATCAACTTAAAGACATAAAGTCTTATAAATAGGTTCCGTTCCTCTCTCCCGGATACATTACTTCCTTGAAACTTTTTTTTCTCCGTATCACTCGGATAGCACTTGTCTAATACGAACAATGATTTCAATATACTTAAGCTACGACATCATTTTTATAGAAGTGCATATAGAAAAGAAATTATTTGTAGAAAAATTTTCTTCAATCGAGTGAATTGACTCGTATTATACTTTGTTTGTAGAAAAACAAGTATTAGCTTATTTGCATCATCGCTATGATATCCTTCAAGGCAGATGAAGAGATTAATATAATCAAATTTCTGTAAAATTTTAATGGTATCACTCTATAATAGGATTAATATTATATAATCGGAAGCCGGAGATATTTCAATAAAATATTGGCTTTCTTTACCGGTTTCCAAATACATTTATTCGAGAATTGTTGATGACTGATGATATAGCCCACTTTCCTATGATATTATAATTAGTTAACTTTTTTTGTATGTATGTTGCATGAAACGATCTATTATTCTTATGGTTAAGATGAATTGCGCATTCTAATGTGGACAACCTATATGTTTAACCTTGTTGTATATAAAGAATAAACATTGATATTGAAATGTGAAGGTTAAAAAACGAGAATAAATGAACAATTGTTCTAAACACGTAATAATAATTAAATATTATGGTACATACTCACATACATTTATCTTCTACTATGACAAATTTATATCATAACATGCTATTATTGTAAAAAAATTTTAATTATCATTATTATTAACATACATTTGAATTTACTTTTGTTTCTCCTCTTAATAATTAAAATTTTGAAAAATTTAAGAATAAATATATTTGTAAAATCAACGTGTCTTGTCTTTCAAAATATCTGATGAATAGAAAAAGAAACGAGTCGCCTAAGTCCATCAAGCATACATTTAATAAGAGTACTTCTACTACATAGTGTTTTATGTTATTCTCATTAAATTCTTTTTTTTTTCCATCACGACCGGATGTAGATTATATACTCAACATGTGAAGAAAAAGAGAAACTGATGGAAATAGTGAATGAATAATGTTATATAAATAGTAAATTAGCTTGTATTTAATGGTGTAAATTTACGTTTGCCAGTTATATTAGATAGAAATACTGTTACACCTGTACACAACTTCTGATATAATCAAGCAATTTCAAGGAATTAGACAATGTCATTTGTAATTTTTTCGTAAGTCAATTTACGAAGTTTTAAACTGTTCAAACAATTATTGTTTTAACAGTACTAGAATGATATCTTGTTTATAAGATACAACAAAAAAACAAAAATAGTTAATTTATATTTCGAATAACAGATGCTATTGTGTCATATTCTTGTGTATGATTATTCTAAATTGAGATATTTTCCCTTTTTTCTCTTCCATATTTAATATTTTGAATAAGTCATTATAATTTACTGTTTCTGTTTTGCATATATATCTCTTTTGTAGTTCAAATTTTGAAATGTCGTTCGTCATCGTTTAAAAATAATTGTAAAATTCTGTATCTTTAATCATTCAATCTGTGCAAAAAAAAAATAAAAAAAAGGATAAATACATGAGTCTTTTCTCAACTCCCAGGACTATACTTACCATAGATAAAATAAAAAAAATAAGTTTATAGTATCAATACACAGTATTATTTATTTTATTAGATTATTGAATGACATCAATTTCTATCAATTTCCAAATGCTACGGTTCAAAAACTGAAGTTGAACTATTCGTTATTGAAATAAATAATCAAGTAGAGGCATGCATTATTTTGATCTATAGAACATTCGATGATCATATATCGTCTGATAGATCATATTGATCATCATGAAACATGATGCTTTTATTTAATCGGTATCTATCATAAGCCTACCAACAACACATAGACGAAAAGTAGAATAAAGAATTGAACAAAAAACCTATGGTAACTGCATTGACAAGTAGATTTAAAGTCTTGATGTGCCAAACTATATGGAAAGATAGATTTTTATTCAATATAGATTAACTTAGTTTCAAATCTTTTCTATGTTGGAGTTGTTTGATAGTAATAAGTTTTACTAGAATATTCAAGATAAATGTTGTAAAATTGATTTCTCAAGCGAGCTATTTTTTTTATTTTTTGACAAATATGTGTCAAAATATGTCATTTTAGTCGAGAAATATATTTTCAAAAGAAGACTTTTGTTTCTTTCATAAAATAAAAGCCCATAGCGTCATTATTCTGTGACACAACACGAAGAAAAATGGAAATATATACTATAATACATTGGATCGTGACAGTGATAAGGATTCATCGCATTATTTCATATTTGAAATTCTTAGATTAGTAATATATTTTTAAATAGAATCTTTATAATGAAATTTATTTAACAGAAACCCGGATATCTGTTACCTTTATGTAAAATAAAAACAAAAAAAAATCAAAAAAAAAAAAATCAATACATATATGTGCTAAATAAACTCTTATCGTGAGAAGTCATAGACAGTGCATATCTAACGGCAAAGTGTTTATACACTAAGTGTTTTTATAATATAAACAAAATCATACCGCAAAAGAAAAAACATCAATTTGAATAGTAAACAATTTTTTTCTTTCCTTTTCATTCAAAAGCTAATTAACTTCACGCCTATTTCAATTAGGAATAAAACACAACCACTAAATTTTTCTATATTGTTCAGTCAATCTATACACATATAAAAATAGTCTTTGAAGCCTTAGGGTTAGACAAAAAAATTTAGTATGAATGACGTACTTCACTTATGCAATTACTTTGTCTAAGAGAATATGAAGAAATAGCAGCAATCTATAAGGTTTTTTTCCCGATAAAACAGCACAATTATAGAAACGATAAATATTTAGCATTAAAATTTAACGATAACAGTGAGAGAAAAATTTATCATGTAGTGTAAAGTTATCACATTTTTATCGCGATATTTTCACTAAACTAAAGTCATTCATCGTTTCTAATCGTGATATTAAATCTCATGAAATGCTGAAATATAATTCAATCAAACATTTCTCTTTATTTGTCCGGAAGAGAAATGAGTACTATTGATAAATGTCACTGGAAATAGTATTCTTGTAAGAATCCAGAGCGTTTTACCTTTTGATCAAAAACATCTGCGGAAGGAGTACAGGTGAAACTGTTTGATAGAGGAAAAAATATCTCAGAAAATGTTCGAAAACTACAGGATTCTTCGGAATAAAAAACATTCGATGTTTATCTAAATCAGGATGTTTTGAAAATTCTGTATCAAAGTGTTGTGCTAATACTATGAGTACGCTGCATATAGGAGAACATTCTATTAAAACTTAATCTACTCGTAGTGTGTCGTTTTATTTCCTGTTGGATGTCAAATCTAAACAAGCTAGAGAGCACAGTTTTGCCCATTATATAGATCATTCCTGTTAGCTCTTTTAATGGACATCTAGCAAAAAAGGAGATATCTCTTCTCGCACAAGATATGCGTGTGTAAACATGTAACGTAAAAGCACGAGAAAGAAAAAGAGAAGCAAAAGATAGTGCAGAGATCAGATCTATATAATGTAGACTAGATGTAAGAAAAGAGATATTTCTCTTTTTGCTAGATGCCCAATGAAAATAATACTATTTGAAATTCATAGAACCCTTGAACTACATTCAAATGACAAAACGATTTTCAATAGCTCTATCTTGTAATTATAGAACTTAAACCGAAGCATATTATGCCACAATGTTTTTAGAAAAGTAACATGAATATTTTTTAAATTCATCAAGTGAAAGAGCGTAGAAAGAACTGTATTAGAGCGTAAAAAAAACTGAATTAGATAATTGGATATAGAAATTATTCAAATTTTTTAAAAGAGTTTTAGTCTTTTTTAATTAAATTTTTAGAAATTGTTGAGACTGTAAGATTTTTTTGCTATAAGTTTCTGTGAATTTATTGTTTCATTTAAAAAATTTTGTGAAAATACACAGAATTTTCATTATACGATGGCATATCTATCTATCTTCCATAGTTTTATTGCTGTGCATATTTTTGCCAAAAATTTTCTGCCGTGTTCTTCTATGGGTTTTCTGGAGAACTCTGGTTTCGAAAAAAATGGTAAAAAATCCGAAATGAAATCTAGGGTTTTGTTTTTGAAAACCTCGTAACTTGGAACGAAACAAACAAAATGAAAAAGGAAAACTATCGTTCTAAGATATCGTCTCAAGTACCTGTGGTTAAATTTCGGATTCAATCGGATGAAGTTTTCAGGGGATCGTAATATATTACAAGGGAAACAAGAGTTCTGTAGAAAACCCATAGAAGAACATGGTTGAAAATTCTTGGAAAAAATACACCAATATTTTTTTGGATGTTCTGTCTCCGGTATGAATTTGAACTCAATCAAACTTTCGCTCTCGATTTGCTAAGAAGATAAACAAAGGGGAGTACTCTTCACAATACTTTTTTGATCTACGTTAAACACTGTATAACCGATAGTTATTATCTGTTGCATTACGGTAGTATTAAGGTTGTATACATGTGTGTGTGTAAATATATATGGACGATGTATATGTATTGAACGCATACTTTTAGTTTATTAGCATCTGTGTATGCTTTAATAATATAGACATATTTTTATAATTAATTAATTGAATAAGCGAATGCTTGTAATATTAACATAAAGAAAGACTAATCTTTACACTGTCCATTTTCATCAGATCTAGACGTCTCATTCAGTTTAGCTGATTACGACGAATTTGTTCCATAATGTTAATTAAGTAGTTAATCAAGTTTTTCCTGTATGAGTCAATGTTTATAGATGTTAGACTACGTATACACTGGCTTCATAAAATTTCATTTCTGGTCATTATGTAGGCGAAGAACTGATATAACAATAATTATTTTATAATAAATCGATTTTCTGTCCCCATAAAAAATATATCCAGTTTTGAAGGTAGTCTAATAATATAGTAAATATCACAAAAATATATTGTTCAACAAGGATCTCTTTATATACCGTGTAATGGTTATATCTTTAAAGATATCACAGAAAAACAGAGAGAATAAAAGAGAATTCATTCAAACGTGAAATCTTTTTACAATAGTTTGCTATAGGAAAACGGATTCAAAGCATCATTCCATAAAATACTGATGTCAATAATTGTAACAACGTCGAAACGATACAAATATGTTGTCGTCACAAAAACAATTGAACTACAAGTCTATTTTGTTCAATTTATCTAACCTTTTCCAGCAAATGAGAGATAATTATATTCTTTCACCATGTTATTTAGTATATGTAAATCGATCTGTTATTTAGTTATATAGTCAGTCGAATTCATAACTATACAAAAAAATTGTACAAATTCAACATCATACATATTTGTAGAAAATAAATAAACAGTTTTGGGGTAACAAAACATTGGCTAGACAAAAAGATCATAAATAAATATATTAAGAATTCATGAGAAATAGATGGGAGTACCGAACATTGCGGTTCCAATATTTTTTACAACACTTTTCAACAATCGTTTCTAAAAATTTATTTTTATTTAAAAGGTGCGCTCTGGAAATCTTTACAAACAACGTATTGAATGGTTTATTACAACATATGTACAAGTACAATGTTATAGAAAAAATACTAAAAAGCTCCCGAATAGTCAGTCAACTTTCTAATCAGAGAAACCCTTTACCTTCATTATTCCTTCCTTAATTATTGAGACATTGGAAAAGTTGACTAGCCATCTTATAGTCCTCTATATTTCATAAAAAAAATTTGAATTCTCCAATATTAGAATTGACTACAAGAGAGTTAAAAAATCATCCTTGCTTCAGATAGCAGTTTCACACCATTTCTCATAACTTGCTCAAATGAAACGTTTTATTTAATTTTACTCTATTTTTGAATTAGTAGCATCTTACTAATGGGTGAGTCAGATTTGTTCCACATCACTATACAACACGGTTGTTGCTAATGTTGAATATAACAGAAATATCTCAATACACCATGCTATTGCCGAATGACTACATGTCGTTCTAAAATTGTAACTACCATTTTCGTGCATGCAATATCTTCTTATCATTTGAATACATCAGCACTAATGAAGCTGAATGCTCTATGTAACGTTGGCAAAATTTATTTTCTAATACACTAGTTTAAATTTAATCGAAAACTTTAGCTAATTGTAGAATTGCAGAGGACAGTTTTAATTTGTGGACAATCTTACTGTTGAACGATCGATCAGAAACCACAACTGCATGTGCTGTTTCAAACGTGATCTTTCCACATATTTATACGGTTACGTCTTAATTACACAATGACGAACATACAGACTATTATCTTTCTTCCATTAAACCTTATTCCGATAAATTAGTCAAGTTTATCAGACGTTTTGAAGAGGCAATACATTAGAAGCACATACTAGTTATCCCTTTAAAAGATTAACCAAGTATTTCTCGTTCTACCTGTTCTCACGAGAAACACGAACATTTTCGCGAGAAGAAAACAATGCTCTGCTACTCATCTAATAACAAATTTATTCCATAAAAACATTTAACTGTCACGCCCTAAAATTAACAATATGAATAAATAAAAAGGCACCAAACAAAGACGGAATGTCATATCACTTTTAGAGAAGAAAAAAACGCACAAAAGTTATCTAGTAAACTCTTCAACAGCTAAACGAACTTCATTCGCTAATTTGTCAGCATCAGCTTGTGTATGCGCTTCGGCATAGACTCGAACGACATCTTCTGTACCAGATGGTCTAGAAGAGAAAGCAAATGTAATCATTTTGTCCTTAGTCAAGGTCCTATTAAAATCTGATACCTGACAAACGATCTTCCTCTTTGGTATTTTGAAACAATTTGGTCGATTCTATCTTGCAAGTAAGCTGGTGCTGTACAACATCTTTCAGCATCGGTTGTCTGAATCATTGTGCGATCACGGACGGATACTTTCAATTGTCGCTGTGGTATATCCGTGTATAATTGTAACCACTGTTCAATAGTCAAATGCATTATAGCAAAGATTGCTTCTGTTGCTAATAAATCTGCAATAGCATCACCAACTGTCTCATTAATTATATTTATAAATGCACGAAGTTGATTTGCAGCTAAACGTTCTTCAGCTGTTCGGCTAAATATATACAAGTACACATTTTAAATTAAACAGAATAATTGTATTTTACACTGCTGTGTTATCCAGCAATATTTCTTGATTAAAGCCTCTCCTCTCTCCGGAAATCTATTTTGGACACAAAACGCGGGATTCTGACCAAATTATCATACAGTCTAGATTGGATTAGAGTAAACGGTTAAGATTGAAAACTTGAGTTTTTCCAGAGGTATCTCAAATTTAGTGGTCAAAACTTAGATGTGGCCATTTCCTAGATTTCTTATTTATTTTGAGGTCATAAGACTTGGTTTATTCTTAAAATGACAAGAAGACTTGCGACTATGACTTTACAGTGTGGGCTTCCGAAGTTTTATTTTATTATTTTTTGCAGAGATTTTAAAAATTCTTTGCTAATTTTTTGAAACTCTTCCTTTTTCTCCACAAGCAAAAAATCCTGCTCCGTCAAGACAGCCATAGGCTTTCTTGTCACTTTAAGACCTATTCGAGCTCTGCAACACTTAAAATAGAGGAGAAGCTTGGAAAATGGCAACATCTACTTTTCGGAAAAGCGATTTCGAGAAAAATGCAGAAACAAATTTAGACTTCTAACAAGTGATTTTTCATGACGAAAAAAGTGACGCTAGATATAACTAGGAATAGTTTGTCATAGGTTATTGACGATGATGCATCGAATGGATATACGCAGAAGCGTATGCGGCATAGTCTTCTGTTGATGAGTTGAATAACTGAACAATGAAAAAGAAATGATATTTCTGCGTTTAGATCCGTTAAAATCTCTCAAAAACCATTGTCCAAATAAAAAACTATATCACATTCGAAAGTACACACTACGAGCCATCCAAGCGCGTCTAAATCTCAAAATCAACTTTTTTGACAGTGAGTCCTTTAATCAACTTGATATCTGCATGTGACTAATAATCGGATGGTCCACTATCTGTTAAAGAGACTTTACCTTTGATCATCAACAGCTGTCTTGATTTTATTTTTTATATCATCACTAAACAATACCTAATACAATATAAAAGAAACGAAATTATGTAATAGCACACTTTAAAGCTATTTATACTTTGCTGAAAGTATATGCATTTATTGAAAATACTCACTGTTCCATGACCATTTGCTTCAAAATAGATACCAATATCGTAATCTTGTGCTTTATGATGTAGAAATTTGACACCTGTCGGCACACATGCCACAGGTACATGCTGGAAAACAAAACAAAACGATTAATTTAAATATGGAGTACAACTATGATACACACCATTGTATTAATTAAATAATCCGTTGAACTTCCATTGGCGTACGCTGTTTGTATTACACCAATTTTAACATCATTCAGTTTGGCTTGTTGGAGTTTTGTATGGAGAAATGATGCATATAAAACAGAAAAACGATCACCATCTAACATACAAAATTGCTTTTTTGAGTTAATAAAAAAATAAACCAAACGATCAGCATCGCCATCAATCGAACAATATTTTAGAGATGGTCTTAATTCGATGCCAGCAGGTGGCTTTTGTAATAATTTCACATAATCAGCGCCACACTGAAAAGACATGTTAAAGAACAATGACAAAGAAATGATGAACAAGATCTTCTTCATTGTTACCATACACAATCATTCAAATGACCTTGAGTTCCATCATTCAAAACATCAATATGAATTAATTTTGATAAACGTGCAGCCACATACTGCAATTTAACAGCACCCACTCCATTAGCTGCATCGACAATAACTTGTTCTGGACGTTGTGCTCCAGGTGACATCTAAAATAACAATCGTAAGCAAATTTATGCACAACTCTTTTAAAATATTTTATTTACCTCAATTAAATTTTGAAATGCAGTACACAATTTATCAAAGTAGCCCGCTTCCGTATAATGACCATACGAACAATCATCATTGTAACATCGAACAACATAATGTAACTGGGGTGTTGTCATCAAATCTGAATAGAACAGACAAATGAGTGAAACATTTTAATATTAGTTTATATTTTCGAAAAATAATAAAAGATCAACACATTTCTGTCTGAAAAGGTTGCTTAGAAATACTACATAACGTTTCAACATAAGGATTTGTAAAAGTCTTTTTAATTTTTTGAAAATTCAAATTAAATACATTTGGTATATTTTTGCACATATTAATAGCTCGAACATTTTGCTTTCATAATAAACACAAAAGAAATTAAACCGATTTTAATGTGTAATTATTTAAATATTTTATTAAATTAATACGATTTAACATATCATTCAAACAAACTGTTTTTTTTTAATTTATCGATTTATTATCAAATTTAATGCAATGCTTCTGAGATTTTACTTTAGTTTCATACTTTCTCAACTGAAGGTTGTTCACTTTTGCACATTTAAATGTTTTAATTTTTTTTTGTCATATTAAGATTTAAATTAACCGTAGAACGAATGGAGTTTTCGCACATACAATAACAAGTCATTCTCAACCATTAACAGTTAATGATATTTTAGACGATAATAATCATATAGACTAGTGGAAGCGAATTTTATCAATGAACTTACCATCAACAAATGATTTTTATCGAGTTATATTTTTTAACAAAAATCATCGACTTATTTCTACTATTTCTAACTAAATCAATTCATCTCAGTTTTTAAAGATATATTTTAGTTTTTTACCTACCAAAATCGAGAATGATGGAGTGTAGCACTTGAGCTGATTGTCTAATAACGTATGCAAGTGGTATACTGCTTTGTCTGGAAAAATATAAAAAAACAAAAGTCTCAACTAGATGATGATTATAAGAAGATTTATATTCGGTCAAAAATAGGAACAATTAATTACTAAGAACATTTCCAATGTAAGCTGTTAGAAGTGTGAATCTTAATACACTCGACTTAACCATTTATGAAAAACATTTTCAATCAGATCGCAAGACGAGAACTGCTTTATTGAGCTCTGTCTAAGCAATGAATATCTGGAGAAAAAAAAAGGATAAAGAAATTTGTTCTAAAGGATCCTACGCTAAGATAGCGAACAGGCGATTTTGTTCTTTCGTTATTTTCTCTTTAATCATGATAGCTAGACTAAAGAAAGGACTGATTTAGATAATTGAAAGAATTTCTAACCAGACAAGGTGCATATGCAAATTCTTGCTAACCATGCCTCTGGAAAACCAAAATTTTTGAATAACATAAAAAAAAGTTCTGTCCTGCATCGAATTTATGACCGATCACTTCGGTCGTTTTCATTGTCATTTTTGTTTTTTTTCTAGCGATTTTGCTGATTTTGATATGAAGAGATCTTTCATAAATTCGATGCTGTTCGATGAAAAAATATCTAGTTTCGCTCAGAAATGTTTGCTCTACGTTTTCCACAAAAGGTTTCCATTGAAATTCTGGGACATGATTTTTTTTAGAGATTTTAAAACTTTTGGTTTTCCAGGGACATGGTTTGTAGAAATTTCTATACCTATCTGATCATAGATTCTTTCAGTTATGTGAATTAGCCCTGTCTTTAGTCTAGCTATCATGGGTAAAGAGAGAACATTGAAAAAACAAAATCGAATAAACTTTTGTTCGCTACTTTATCACACAAAAGTAAAAGAGTAACAAATACAAACAAAAGTTGAGACCTTGTATCATGTGCCAGAGCAATAACTGCCTCGTCTTGAGGTTGTACGTTTAATTGATTCATCAGTAATTCAATATATTCCCAAAGTTCGTCAATATTATCACTATAAACAGTACGAAAAACAAGCTTAGTTTTAAGAAAAACCGTTGAATCTCTTCACATTACTCAAATGTAGCCAGATTATTGGCATAAACTTCCCATGATTGATCAAGCATTTCTCCCATAGGATCAATTAATTTTACTCCATTATCACATTCTGGATTATGAGATGCTGTAATCATTACTCCAACACAAGCTGAAAAAAAAGAATCTGCTATGTCTCTACACAATCTATTAACTACTCACCAATTACCTTTTTTTACTTTTGCTCGAAGCGATGCTAATAAACCCATACGGACCATGATCCACGGCAAAATATCTGAACGTGCACGAAATCCAGATGTGCCATAGCCCATTGTCAGACCAGCTGGTTTGGGATATTGAATGAGTAATTGACCTAGTTTTTGTTTGGCTATGTGTGTCATGATGACTTCTACAAGAGACGTAGGCAAATTCTAGTCTAATATATAGAGAAAAACAAATTTTGTTCGACAGATTAAGTCATTTATAAATATGTAACGTGAACGACAAAAAATTTTGTATTGAATAAGACTGGACAAATTCAGAACGCAAGAAAGTGCTGTTCAAGCACGATAGAATCAATCAGTAGTCAAAGTAAACAAAGAATTAACATTTGGTTAGTGTTTGAATAGTTAAATCACTACTCCAATGTTCGACTACATATAAATATCAAGAAAAAAATCTAAGTCGTATTTAGTGTTTGTTACAAACAGAAGAATACTACAAATTATAAGTATGTGCTGGTCTTCCTTATTTCCTCGATGAAAAATGTGTTGCTCTATTCATGTGTCACTAAGAAGAAACACATAGTAGAAAGAACAGATGACACATACTAGTGGAAGCATGGACTTATAATTTATGTGCGTCAACATTTATTGTTACTTGATTGAAACTGAAGCTTTGAGAAAATATTAATTCTTTCATTTCAGAAAAAACAAGTTGTGTGTTGTCTAGCAAATGCAACGCTTCAGATTCGAGGTACTTAACGCTCACTCGTTTTATTTAAAAAAGTTTATTGAACTGTCGCCTACTTTATTCTACGACATTCTTTATTATTTCTATTCAAGATGTGAATCATACAACTCATTATTGGATTGGAATTCGATTTATTCTGAACGCTTGTGTTACATCAATACAAGAAAGAATATTGAAGATATATCACCTAGTTTCTTATTATTTTTATAAATAAAAAAAATCCAAAAGTTAATAAAAATAGCGATATGACAAAAACTTTCGAAAAATTCAACTAGAATAAACCTACAAATCAAGTTAACAAAAAATAAATTATCCAAGCTATGATTTTACATTGAATTTCATTGTATAGTCAACACCATCGGACTTCAATCCGGCTTCAATCTGATCCCCACGTTTTACTGGTCCCACGCCTGATGGTGTACCGGTCAAAATCAAATCACCATATTCTAATGTGATATACTTTGATATATAAGAAATTAAATTTCCTACGGAAAATATCATATCTTTAGTGTTTCCGTTCTGTTTCATTTGTCCATTTACTTTTAGCCATAAATTGATATTATCGACTTTGGAAAGATTTTCTTTCGGTATAAATTCACCAATCGGACAGGAACAATCGAAACCTTTTGCTAATAACCATGGATGCGCTTGTTTTTTCAGTTCATCTTGAATTTTTCGCGCTGTCATATCCAATGCCAGTACATAACCACCGACATTTGATAACCCTTCTTCCGAACTAATATTCTTACATTTTTTATCAATAACAACGCCTAGTTCAATTTCATGATGTAACTCATCCCATTCAGTTGGAATCTAAAAGAAGGAGAATGAATCAGATATGAAAGAAATGCGTAGTCTTTACGCTTTCTCATTGAATCAGATATGTCTAGTGAGCACAAAATTAAGATGCAGTAATTTCACAGGAGAAGTTATGCTAAACTGGATACTTACGATAAGATCTTGATTTTCTGTAATAAATGCGCTCGGTGGTTTCATAAAAATCATAGGCTTTTTTGGTACTGGATTGCCCAGTTCGCTGGCATGTTCACTAAAAGGCAAACATAAACGTTACGGCATTTTTTGGCGATTTATATGATCATTACCGTACCTATAATTACGTCCGATACAAATAATTTTTCGGCAAATACTACTAAAATTTTTTAATGAACGAGTCATTGTTAGGATAAAAGTCCTTTCACAATATATGAGTTATTTATTTATCTATTTTTTTAAACAATTCGTCAAATTCTTATTAGATTACGAATAGCTAACCACTCACATCCATTAAGTAAAAGAGTTAAAATAAAATACCATAAACTTCTTGTATCGTAAAAAAATGGCCAGCTTGAATTTTTCTATACTTCAGATTGGATAAAGATTTTTGCTTTTATTTGGCAAGTAAAATATTTATCATTATTCATATTAAAATTAACGGATCGAAACCGCTTGCAACAAGAATAGGTGTCGTATTCGTCTAGCATTGATTATACCCACATGTTTGAAAACAAAGATGGAAAATAATCGTTTTGGGTTCTCATTGACCGAATCCTCATTTTTGTATTATAGGTTAACCTACAATGAAGACTCGCACATGGATCACACCTAAAGGTCAACCAAGGCGTCCATAGACGTTACCATTGTCGGCAAATTCTGAAATTAACGTTGATAGTAGAGATTTATATATAAAATTTATGGATGTCTTGATTTGACTGCATCTGAACCTGAGTCCTGTGTCAATGGTAGAATCATCCAATCAAAAATTTAGAGCATAATCTAGCATTGCATATATTATGTTATGTCTCAAAATGAGAGAATCACTTTACTTTAACATCTGTATGTGAACTTGTTTCATTTACACAACAAATGCTTGCAAATAATCAAGTTTGTTTCTCGTTCTCAAATTATCTTCCAATATCCTTGACATTTTTGTTTTTATAGGNTGGCCTGCTATAAAAGGTTAGATTTTGACAAGATTTCATTTTGAAAGAATACTAATAATAGAAAACTAAGTTCATGTGTTCGAGTCTGTATTCAGACAAGATTGGTTTTGTTTTCGATAGTTATCTTCCAATATCCTTGACATTTTTGTTTTTATAGGAAATTCCAATCCTTTCTTTGTGGCCCTCAAACGGTACTCTACCGTCAGTCGATCCCAATAGCCTTGCTTCTCTGGTATGAAGAACGATTTTCAGATTGATCTATAATAAACTTCAAGTATCGTATATGAGAGGCAATCAGAGCTCGATCATCCAGAAAATTTTTGCGTTTGCTTAAAATTATAAACTATTAGATTTCTATTAAAAAACTTCGTGATGAAGAATTATTCTTAGCTCTTTTCGTGAGTGAATAATTTTTTCGTATTGTCATGGTTTATCCTTCTCTAGCTATGGATTCGTGCACATAGTTACTCATTTAAAGTCGTCAACATTGATAAGCAAATTCAGCTTACACTTGGTAAATGAAAAAAAATACCAGTCTCTCTAACGTTATTTTCTTTAACTGAAATGGATTTGATTTTAGGTACATATCCAGTACTGTACGATTCAGTCACTGCAAAAAAGTATGTTGGATTTGAATCCATTTATACGTGGACGACACTCAATGTAAAACAATCTTATGTTGTGGAATTTTAAATGCGAATTACGATGTTTTATTTTTAGAAATCAATCGAAGCTCCGTCTGCCAATACCCTCGCTCTTTTGGCCAACTTTAAAGAATCATTCATTCCTGCATTTGTATGTTTGTTTTTATACTATTTAATTTTTCCTTATTTATTGTTATTGTTTGATAGATGCATTCGTTATGGTTAGATGATTCAAACAAAGAAAAATCACGTTCAATTTGCAACACATTAATTGGTTTACCAACAAGTTCATTCTTTATTTATTCAAAACAAAATTATGCTCGTACTTGGTTTAATGTGGCTGCAACAAAAATAACTTTTCAACAAATTTCTCAACAGGAAAACCGCGTAAGAAAAAACTATTATTTTTACTATTATGATTGAAGTATCGATCATTTTGTTAATTTTAACTTCTTTTTTACAGATGTATGAGAAAGCTGAACAATGTCTTGATTTAATTGAAAAAGAATTGGTTCAAAACAATGATCACTATGTATTCGGAGAAACGTAAGTTTTTGATAAGAATATTTTTACTAGAAAAAAAATAAATGATCAATAAAGCACAAATAGAGATTAGAAAAAATGCTATCGCTCATTATGAACCTCTATTTTCTGATTATTAGATTTTCTCTGCTTGATACATGGGTATCTGCCTATCTTCTTATTCTTCAACATTGTTCATCGAATAAATCAAGATTAAAAGCAAACTTGAATCAACGAATCAATTTAATGGCCTATCTTAAACATATTGAAGATAAATTTCTCCTCACAATCGAAAGAAATAGTTAGTATCGCTCGCTTATTTTTACTTCCTTTTTTTCCTTTAAAATTTCATCTTTCTTTTAGTTTCATCTTCTTTCTCTGATGAAAATGACAACCACAAAAATACAAATTCTTCATTGATTCATTCGAAAAAGCTTAATGGTCAATCATATGATCTTGTTTCTGTTTTACATATTTTATCACAAGTTGTCTCATTTTCAGTATTTTTTCTTATGCTCTCAAAAATTGGTGGAGGTACAAAATTTTCTTGATTATTCTTATCTCTCATATATTTGTACATTTTCTTTTTAAGAAGAATATCTCGTCCCTCTTTAGTATTCTATTCTTCTTGTTAATTAATGAAAGAAAACTGTTCATTACCTCCTTTTAGCCACTTGACTAATATTTTCTCACTTTCAGACTTATTATTTTTTGTACTTTAGTTGGAAAATTTTTTAGATTTTATTTTCTTAATATTTATTTTTTCTTATTAGATTATTTATAGGTGTACCATTTAAAATATTTGATTAGTTTTGGTTTTGTTTAACACTATAGTTTGTAAAAACAAATAAATAAACGTTTCCTGTTCTCTCTTCGGTGACATCATGTGTCTAACTTAGGAGAGGAACTCATTAAGTGGAATTTTTAACAAATATTTTTTTGTCCTTTCTCTCTTTTGTATACTGAAAGTCTTGGAACCGACATCAGAATACAAGCAAAAATGAGTATATCGTGGTGTTTTAAAACGATAACTATCGAAAACAAAACCAATCTTGTCTGAATACAGACTCGAACACATGAACTTAGTTTTCTATTATTAGTATTCTTTCAAAATGAAATCTTGTCAAAATCTAACCTTTTATAGCAGGCCATCTTTCAGCTAAATTGATTGGTATGCATTCTGTAAGAGAGAGTGCGTCCCCATTTTTCTCTATCTAGATTTTCTTACAACGTTAAGCAGATTCATTATGATAAAGTAGTGGACATTTTATCTTGTAACAAAACGAATTGAGATAAAAAAATTTTGTTTTCACATTATTCTACAGTTATCATTATTTTTTCAATCAAAAAAAAAAGTAATATTACTTGAGTTTTTAAAATGGTTAAAAAGGCAAAAACATGGTTAGCAACGAACGTATTTTTTTAACTTATCCACGCATCGTGTTTCCTAGACAATTTTTTACTTTATTCAAATTGGTGAGTTCTCTTGTGTCTCATATAACCATATATCTAAAAATGGGTTAAAATAACTGCTCATTAGTAACTTATTGGAAAAGCAAGTACAGAGTTTTGTAGTGCATGAAAATCTCTGTCAAATGATATATTACTTCACGATCTCCAAGTAATTGGTAACTTACAAATAGAAGTGTAAGGTTCCAGAGTGACACTAATTAGCATTAATTACCACTTATTAATAAGTGAGTTAAGTTAAAGCATAATCGAAGACGAAAAGGTGAATGTGAGCTGGGCATTGGCTTAAGGTTTTCCAGAAACCTTCTGAAAAACCTCAGAGCGTTAGTGTTCTACTGGACCACGTTTTCGGCGTGGTCAACAACATATGGCACCTTTTAAGATTTCCTGAAAATTTCCTTGAGCCAGCATGAGATTTGATCGAGATATAAGGATTTTAATTTTTGCTAGTAACAGGCGAAAAACCGATTTTTCACAACAATGCCTCTGGCGA